GCAGTGAGAGGATGGGCCAGGGTGGGCAGGGGACAGAGGCTGTTGGCTGGAGGCAGATGTCGAGGGGCCACTCAGATGGGAGTTTCCAGATCTATGCTGTGGTCTCACTCAGGGCCTAACGACCGGTGCACCCCAGCTCTGCTGAGGTCAGAAAATGAGGAAACGAGCCTGTTGCCGTGTGGCACGTGGCGACTGGGGGCTGAGGGGGACAACACCGCCCATCAGAGCTGCAGCAGAGACATGGGCAGGAAGCCCGAAAGGACCCTTGTCCAGCCAGATGGCCACAGAGGTCACACACGAAACCCTTGCTCCGGGCCTGTCTCCTCCTTCGCAGGCGACTCTGACACAGCGGGCTTTTTGCTTTTCAAGTATCCGGCAGAATCGAAGCAGGATGCAGTAGCCGGCACCATCAAGAGGAGTTTTTCAAAAAAATAAGCGTGGCTGTCTTGAAATTCTAAACGTGTGCTGTCTAAAACCATTCGGTGAAAGTTGGAGGGGACTCATGACATTAGTAGGGCAAACCTTTATAAGAATGTTGGGACCAGCTGGTGGCATGGTGATTAGGCAGCTGGATCCCGTATGGCCGACTGCACAGTTTCAGTCCCAGACCCCGCGGCTTGGAAAACACTGTGTGTGTGCGTGCATGCCCACAACCCTGAGAGAATGGAGAAGAGATTGTGGTGTGGCCATTCCTGTAAGGGTGTTCTATAGGCTTGATTTATTTTCTTATTGATTCATAAGAACTCTTTACATATTAGGATAATAACCTTCTAATGTTATATCTATTGCACAAACTCTACCCTCCTCCCCCCTCATGGTTTGGCTTTGAATGGCAGTGGAACTTCTCCCCCGGCTGATGCAGGAAGTTTCTGTTTCTTGTAATCAGACTTATTGGCCTTTTCTTTATGCCTTCTGGATTGAGTGGCATGGTTAGGACAAACTCTCCACTCACCGGAAGGAACTGTTGGCTGGGTATCCCAGATACCCAGGGCTTTACTCTGTCTGGACTCCATGCCCATCTGAATGTGTTCACAAAGATGCTGGCATCATGCCGGCATCTAATCTTATTTTTTCCTTTTTGAAGACAGCTTCCCTTCTGCATCGAGGTGAGATGATAAATTAGAAAACCCTCCAAGCCCCCTCCCTCTCTCTAGGCAGGGATCCAAATGGCATCCTTACAGCCCGTTCGCAGACAACAGTTTAAAAAAAAAAGTTTGGGACCAGCAGTTAGTATAATGGCTATATCGCTGGACTCCCACATAGTTGACCACGGTTTGAGTCCCGGACCCAGTGGCTTTAAATCATGCCTGGGCGCGTGTGCGTGCGTGCCCAAGATCCCGAGAGGAGAATGGAGGAGAAGAAATTGCGGTGTGACCATCCCCCCTGGGGGGGTGATTTCTCACTTTCTGTCTTTCTGTCTCTCTCTGTCTGGCGAGTGCATGCGCCCTATAGCAAAAACCTCTCCAGAAAAAAAAAAAAAGAAAACAAGTTTGGGGACCAGCAGATGGCATAATGGTTACATCGCTAGACTCCCATGTAGTTGATTGCAAACCCCAGACCCGACGGCTTAAAACACGCCAGACACATGTGCGTGTGTGCCCAAGATCCCAAGAGGAGAATGGAGGAGAAGGGATTGTGGTGTGGCCATCCCCCTGGGAGGGTGATTTCTCGCTTTCTGTCTGTCTGGTGAACACATGTGCCCCATAGTGAAAATCTCTCTCTCTCAAAAAAAAAAAAAAGAAGTTTGGGGTAACTACAAAACTAGTCAAACAAGAAGGGTAACTTTGGGCAGGGCTGCGGTCTGTAGGAAAGGTAAAGCTAGAGGAACCTGCTAGAAACATGTCACGTCTGCCCAGGGCAGGGGCGAGCTCGAGTTCAGATTGTGAGGCAGGCCGCCCATGCTTGGGAATTTAAGGCATCTCTGGTTTTCCTGTCGGAGTCCTTGCCTTTTCCTGCGTTCACACCAGCAGTTGGGACCTGGAAGAAAGGTGAGGGTGTGGTGGGCCCAGTCCCGGCTCTCTGACTGTGTCGGGGTTCCTGCCACTTGCTGTGTGACCCCAGACAGTCACCTGGCTTCTCTGGGCTCGATATCCTTAGACTCACCCTAGATGAACACAGGCCCAGAGCTGTCAGCAGGTGGTATGACACCTGGAGCTCTTCCTGTGTCCACGGCACCTCTGGGCTGTAGACAGTGAAGGACCTGAGCCCAGAGCGGCTAAGTCTCTTGGCCAAAGTCCCAGCAGAGGTGAGGTCCAAACCTAGGACTGGGTGGCTGTAGAGCACCATGCTGCCTCCTCTAATCACAGCAGCCCATTTCCAGGTGCCTCTGCCTCCCACTCCTCGGTCGTGGGGTCTGTGTTCCCCCCACTGTGCTGCTGAGACCTGAGCCCCACGAGTGCGGTCCCAGCACTGCGCTCTCCCCCAGCTGGCCAGAACTCGGGCCTGGGTGGTGGTTCCAGCTGCTGTTGGGGCAGGCTCTGCTGACCACAGCGGCCTCGTGACCCTCGGAGCACACGGCCTGGAGAACATGGAACAAACAGCCTTTCTTCTGCCGCCAGGGCAGGACCGCTGAGTGCACAGGAGCCTTTTCAGAGCCAGGGAAGCTGAACAGCATTTTTCTGCATCTCTGCCCTGTGCCTTGAGTGACCCGAGTCATTCAGAAAGGCCATAAGCCACCCCCAGTCATCGAGGTTTCGTGTCTCCTCTGGTTGAAGGCCTTGGTTGAAAATCAGCCTGTCAGGCCAGCTGGTGGGTTGGTAGTTAAAGCAGCTGGATCCCACATGGCCAACTGCCCGGTTCAAATCCTGGACCCAGCAACTCCTGAGCATACCAGGCGCACGTGTATCCGCGTGCACGCCCAAAATCCTGAGAGAGGAGAATGGAGAAGGGATTGCTGCATGGCCATTTCCCTGCCCCATTTCCCCGCCCCATTTCCCCGGGGAGTGATTTCTCACTTTCCCTCCCTCTCTCTTTCTTTCTCATCCTCTCTGGTAAGTGTGTGGACTCTATAGCAAAAATGGAAGGACAGAAGGGAGGCTTATTATGCATTAGAAAAACCACTATGCCAGGACCAGCAGATGACGTGGAGGTTAAGGTACTGGATCCCACTTAGTCAACTCCGTGGTTCAAGTCCTGGACCTGGCAGCTCGAAAGTCATACTGGGCATGCCCCAAATCCCTTGACTTGAATAAAGGAGAAGGGATTGTGGTGTGGCCATCCCCCCCAGGGGGTGATTTCTCACTTTCCCTCCCTCTGTCTCTCTCTTTCAGGTGAGCACACACGCCCTATTATAAAACAAACTACAACAAACTAACCACCCTGCCAAGGACAGGCTGTAGCATCCCGCTCGCAGTGGGTCTGCAGTGTCTGCAGGTCTCTGTTAATTTCTGTGTCTGTGACTCTCCCAGGTCCCCTGGAAACAGCCCTGGACTAGCGGATGGTCAGAGTTCCGTCCTCCCTTGCCACCTTCTTCCCGAGGAGGTCGGGCTGTGGGAGCTTTTGTTTGGAGTGTCTGCAGCGGGTTGTCCAGGACCGCTCTTTTCACTGCTGTCACTAGAACGTTCCAGATGGCCGTCCAGGTGTGCAGGGTGACCTCGGGTGGAACTGGCCTGCAGAAGTTCTTCCCCCGGCCACCCATCCCTGCACAGGCACTTGGTCGAAACCCCAAGGCCCCTGCCCGGCCTCCTGGGCGTTGGCTTTCCCTGGGGATGGCGTCTCCCAGCATTAGTTCTTTAAGATGCCGTATAGCTGTGCTGTCCAGTAGCCTGGCCCACCCATGTGTGGCTATTTAAATTTAAACGAATGAAAATGAACTACGATGACAATTCGGTTCCTTAGTCACAGTCACCACCTTTCATGAGTCACTAGCTCCATGTGGGTACACATTGGACAGTGCGGATGTAGAACATTGCCAGCAATTCCAGAAGGTTCCGTACGGTAGTGCATGCTGTTTAGGGAGAAAGAGCAGAGTGGACCAAAGGCCTGTCCCTTATCCCCCCCAGGGGGTGATTTCTCACTTTCCCTCCCTCTGTCTCTCTCTTTCAGGTGAGCACACACGCCCTATTATAAAACAAACTACAACAAACTAACCACCCTGCCAAGGACAGGCTGTAGCATCCCGCTCGCAGTGGGTCTGCAGTGTCTGCAGGTCTCTGTTAATTTCTGTGTCTGTGACTCTCCCAGGTCCCCTGGAAACAGCCCTGGACTAGCGGATGGTCAGAGTTCCGTCCTCCCTTGCCACCTTCTTCCCGAGGAGGTCGGGCTGTGGGAGCTTTTGTTTGGAGTGTCTGCAGCGGGTTGTCCAGGACCGCTCTTTTCACTGCTGTCACTAGAACGTTCCAGATGGCCGTCCAGGTGTGCAGGGTGACCTCGGGTGGAACTGGCCTGCAGAAGTTCTTCCCCCGGCCACCCATCCCTGCACAGGCACTTGGTCGAAACCCCAAGGCCCCTGCCCGGCCTCCTGGGCGTTGGCTTTCCCTGGGGATGGCGTCTCCCAGCATTAGTTCTTTAAGATGCCGTATAGCTGTGCTGTCCAGTAGCCTGGCCCACCCATGTGTGGCTATTTAAATTTAAACGAATGAAAATGAACTACGATGACAATTCGGTTCCTTAGTCACAGTCACCACCTTTCATGAGTCACTAGCTCCATGTGGGTACACATTGGACAGTGCGGATGTAGAACATTGCCAGCAATTCCAGAAGGTTCCGTACGGTAGTGCATGCTGTTTAGGGAGAAAGAGCAGAGTGGACCAAAGGCCTGTCCCTTAGATATTCTGCTTGGGTTTTAAAGGTCCCGATAAGTCCTGAAATAAGGAACTGGCTTTACCTGGAGCCCAGCACTAAATTTACTTCCCACAGAACCTTTCTAACATCCGTGAACCCGCCTCCCCCCAGACACGCCTAGCGACCGTCCCGCCTGTCCCCAGGCCTCCGTGGCTCCTGGTGGTCCTGAATGTCACCCTTGCAGGGAGTCTAAATCTATCTTCTCATTTTGTCCCCAGATTGCCTCGGGTCCCCAGTGTTTACTCCCATCAAGGCAGACATAAGTGGCAACATCACGGTATGTACCCCGGCCGGCAGCTGCACCCCAGGACCAACATCAGGGATCGAAACCCACCTCTGGTCACCAGTGTCCTGCCCCTAGCTGCAAACTCCCCACCCAAGGACGGGCTAGGAGACACCAAAAATGGGTTCATCCCCAAGCTCACCTGGTTCAGGGCTCAAGGTTCTCGGTCCTCCTTGGCAGTCACAGCCTTTAGTCACGCTGGACTGGGGTGGGAGACCGAAGGGCTGGCCCTGAAGAGGAGCCTCTTGGTTCCTCTATCCCCTGAGAAGCTAGAAGTGAGCTCCCAGGGCCAGCCGTCGCATGGTGGTTAAGATGGCTGGATCCCAGAGGGCCGACTGCACAGTTTGAGTCTTGGACTGGGTAGCTTGGAAAACATGCCGGGCGCGTGTGCACGCATGCCCCAGATCCCGAGAGAATGGAGAAGGGGTTGCAGTGTGGCCATCCCCCTGAACGGTGACTTCTCACTTTCCCTGTTTCTCTTCCTCTGTCTCTGTTGAGTACACACGCCCTATAGCTAATAAAAAGAAGCAAGCTCCCCATATCCCCGGGCAGAGTTGACCTGGCTGTCCCCTTCCCCAGTCCTGGGAGTTCCCAATGCCGCCCGCCAGCCAGAGACTCCCTTCTGGTGAGGATCCACGGAGGGCCCCGCCGGAGGCCTGAACACATTGCGTACCTCCGTTCCCGCAGTCCTTGGAGGCCGGTTCTGCCATGGTCCGCTGTTTACAGAGGGCCAGGCTAAGACTCAGAGGGGTTGAAGGAGTCGCTTAAGGTCACACAGCAAATAAGTGGCAGAGCTGGGATTCAGACCAGGACTGCCTGGCTCCGATGTGGGCCTCTGCAGGTTCCCGGATGTCTTTGAGTCCGAGAGCCTACTCCTGCCTGTCCGTAATCGTGGCGCTTCAGGTACTCGGTGACCACGGAGTGCCCTTAGTGGCAGTGGCTGGGACATGGCCTCTGAGCCAGCCAGGGCTGGGGCTTGCTGTCACCTGTACCAGGTGACCTTGCCCTCGCTGCTCTCGGGAGCTGCTCGGAAGGTCGTGGGCATTACTACGACAAACCTCACCTCGACAAGTTTCTTCCCGCTCCTTCCTAACAGGCGGGAGGAGTGAGAGGTGCTGGCGGGTGGCCGTCTGCCTGAGCCACCTTTCCAAGGGGCAAACCCCTGTGCTCCATTTCAGAAAATCAAAGCCGTGTACGACACCAACCCCACCAAGTTCCGGACCCTGCAGAACATCCTGGAGGTGGAGAAAGAGATGTACGGGGCAGAGTGGCCCAAGGTGGGGGCCACGCTGGCGCTGATGTGGCTCAAAAGGTGACGGGCCAGGGCTGGGGACTCTGTCCTGCAGAGGAGGGAAGGGGGACAGCAATCCCCACCAGGGCACCCCCTGTGGCTGGAAAGGAAGGGGACTTCCATCTCTGCAGTCGTCCTTCTACTGTGATGTAATTAAGGGCTGAGAAAACGCCTCCCAAGGCCAAGCCCTGCCTGGGCATAGCAGGCGTGCACAGTCCTTCCCGGGCGTCTGCTAAGCTCTTCACGTGTCTCATTGGGTTTCGGACGCTGGCAGTTCTGGAGGCCAGCAGTGCAGGCCGTGCACTGCACAGAGATGTCCTGCTTAGAGCTGGTCACCTCACGGACGTGGCGGCTTTGTACATATGACCGCTTTTGTTTATTTCTTGTTTTTCATTTGTTACAGGGTTTGTATGCTTGCCGGAAAGAGGGAGAACATGAGAAATCACCCCTAGAGAGGATGGCCACACCACAGTCCCTTCTCCTCCATTCTCCTCTGGGTATTTTGGGCGTGCACACACACACGTGCCTGGTGTGTGTTTCAAGCTGTCAGGGCCGGCACTTAAACTGCACCGTCAGCCACATGGGCTCTGGCTGCCTTCACGACCACACCACTGGTTGGCTGTTTGGTTTTTAAAACGGGATCTTGCTTGCTCCTGCCTCAGCCGCTCAGCCAGGACTGCAGGTGCATGCCTCCGTACCACCTCTTCTTAGATAGTGTAGCGTGGCCATCTCTCTGGAGGGGGACGGTTTGCTGTCCAGGCCAGCTGCAGCATCCTGGGTTCTCGGCATTATAGGCACACCCTCTGTGCCCGGCCTATAGGCTGGACCAGGTGTCAATCTAGGGCCTTCCATGTGGTCCCTGCCGGCAGAGCACAGAGACTCAGTAGTTGCTCCACCATGGGTGGACCCCCTTAGCCTCATGACAGAAATACAACATCTTGAGACCAGCAGTTAGCATAATGACTGTGTCGCTGGACTCCCATGTAGTCGACCTTGGTTCGCGTCCCGGACCTGGTGGCTTAAAACTCATGTCGGGCACGTGCGCGTGCATGTCCAAGATCCTGAGAGGAGAATGGAGAAGAAGGGATTGCGGCGTGGCCATTCCCCCTGGGGTGGGGGGGATGATCTCTCACTTTCTGTCTCTATGTCTGTCTGGTGAGCGCACATGCCCTATAGCAAAAACCTCTCCAAAAAATAAAAAGAAATACAACATCTTGTGAAAGATTTTTTTCCCCAACAGGTGGGATGGGACAAGGATGGGCTCCAGGCTGATTGGGGGTGTTGGGGAGCCACTGAGGGAGAGGCTGGCCCCTTAGGGGTT